TCCTTCTAGATTGTCAACAATGATGTCGGTCGAAACTTTTAAGTTTAAAAACTTTCGATGGCAATTCGTCGCGAATATTTTAGTTTGTTTCGATCATAGAAGGGAAGCGAAACAATCACTGAGATAACTCGCTAGTTTTGCTTCCCATGAAAACACTAGTTTAATGCGATGTGGAAACTCAATTTTCTGATGGCAAACGACGCGAATATGTTTGTTTTTTTGTTTTTTTCAATCGTACTTTAGTGTAATGGCTTATTAGACTCTGAATTCTAATTCGGAGGGCTTCTCCTTCGTAAATGATTTTGTAAAGCAGTAATTTGCAGAACGATTGATTGATAAACTTAATAAAACTGGTGTGAGAAGAGACTCTCACTGCAAGGTTTTATTTGTTAGTTCCATGGCAACGTGATAGTGATTTACATAAACACCCCCCGCAGACCGCTTCTTCGTGTGGTTCGCGGGGGGTAAATCGTTAATTTATGGAGACACATTTAGATCGGTGTGAAGTCGTCATGCGAGCTGAGGGAATTTGAATGGGCGAGAACCATAGATTTTTTTCATCTTGCCATAAATAACACAAGACCGATGGCACATATCAATGTCATCCCTTGTTGGCCAGTCAAACACTTTTGCGCCGGCGGTGTACATGAACTTCAGCTGTATGTAATTACTACCCTCGTCGCACTTGATGACTCGACCTATATAATAAGACTTCTCGCACTCTATGGCATAGTAGCATCCAATCTCGAATTCATCACTGTATGGATCGCAGAGACGTCTTTCATGCAGCTCTAAGAGCATGTGCTCGCGAAAATTACCAACCGTAGCTGTACTTGCAAGTGGACACTTCTGTACCAAAGAACGAGCATACAGGCAGACGAGAACACCACAATCAAATGAGTTCTTTTGTTCAACGATTTCCCCAGGGCCATTGCAGCTAAAGTCCCATTCCTTTAGATCAATAGATGGGTCAAGCTCTTTAAAAACAGAACACACTTTTGTAACAGCTTGCTGATGTGAAGGTTTCACAAAAAGGCTGGGTGGTATGCTGTCAAGTATGACAACTTTCTTTTCTTTGGGGAGCACCACAAGAAGGAACCAGTGTTTGGAGTTCAGACAGTTACAAGGGATGAACACTAAATCTTGATCTAAAATCTTTGTTTTACSTTTGAGTAACTCTTTGGCTTGCTTTTTCCCGACGCCTTTTTCRAATTTCTCCCATTCTAAAAACTCTGAGGAAACGTCTGTGGGATGAGTTGTGTCTACCAGAATTTGCAAGTATGAATCGATGATGAAGTTGCAGATATAGTTATCTTCATCTAATGGATGCTCACCATGAAGCCCATTGAGATCTTTAACATCAATCATACCACTTCCTTTGAACGGAATAAGCACTTGTTTATGCTCAGCAAAATTGCAGTCTTCGAGTCTATTTAACTGACTTGACATGGAAGCATCTATTCCAAAGTGGAGGGTAGGAGCACCATTCATGCTTTTATTTGATATACCTTGGGATTTTGCAAGCTTGCAAGCTTTTTGTTTGGCTCGTGTCGACTACGCTTGTTTTTTTGAAATTCTTTTAGGTCTTCCTTGTTGTTGCTTAATGCCTTGTGCGTCTTCAGGGATCTGGAACTGCTCTTCATCATGTAATTTTGGATGTGGGATTGCTTCTGTCTGTGACGGAGGGTTTGGATGTGGTTTGGTACTAGACATTTCCCAGTGAGATGCTGTCGGTTTCATCTCTTTCTTCGACGGAGGGTTTGGATGTGGTTT